ACTAGATTAATTACGAAAATTTTATTTGCGAGAAATAATTATTGGTAATAATTTTGTGACAAATCAATTTTTTAGCTTTAGAAAGATTGTTTGATTTTTTGTATTTTACAGTGTTCTATTTCACAATATTTGCCTTTTACCACTATTTTTCAATCAGTGGAAATAGAAGAAAAAGGAACGCAAAGGACATTTTATAATATGTAAACTAACTTTTTGCTTATTAGTTTTTTTCTATGCATAATTAATAATTAATATTCATTTATAACAGATAGAAGAAGGTGTCAATTAACTGAGCAGTCGTTTTATAGTCTTTGTTATGTATAATTATTGCAAGAATTTACTGATAGTAAAAAAATAAAATTGACATGATATTTAATTTATTGATTAATATTTAATAATTACTGATAATAAATAAGTACAAATGTTGTAATATTCAATTCTTGACTAATATTTGATTTGTTGTTTATTTAATTTTATCCAATATTTAATTTGTTGTTCAAAAAAAAAATATCCGAAATGCAACACAGTAAGTTATAAGACAGGTAAGAAAACTTTCGATGTGTAATTTGGTATATGATTTTGTCATTTGCGTGAATTGTGTTAACATTTACGCAAACATTCATGTCACATTGCTTTTGCGAGCAAATATTTAGTGCTAATTGATCATGCTAGCGACAATGAACAAGAGAAGAGGGATGTGGTGATTACAGAAACACGTAAAAGAGACACGAGAATAGGGAATGAATAGTGTAGTGGTTTAGTGTCGTAAAGGGTTAAAGACATTTTTCTCTTATATTGATTCTCGTCTTCTAATTCACTTCTAAGAGTAGTTATTAAATATGGACCGGATCCGGATAAACGAGGCCGTAGGATTTATGTGTTTCACAACGCTCTAGTCTTATGCAAGGACATGATTATTTCTCGTGGTTTACTTGAAAAATTTTCGGGAATGGTTTTTAAGGCGATTGCGACATGATAAAGGACTAGATGATTCGGCAAGAATTGTGAGGGACCACGATTGGTCATAGATTAATTAGTTATAATTGTAATATTAACTCTACTTTAGAATGACTGTAAGAACTGTAAGAAAATGAACAACTTTTATAGCTTGTCCTTGTAGTCTATTTTTTACCAACTGACTAAGTTTGCTCAATGAGAACATTGAGTACAATTCTAAAGAATTAGAATGGTAGAAGTAACGAGTTAGACATAGTAGTTGTTGTTAAGATTATGAGAAAACTGTGTGGCATAATTATGATAGATTTAAAGCTAATAACATCATTGTAGCCAGATACGTTTTGACCAAAATTCATTCAGAGATGGGACAGCAACAGTCTGGTTTCGGTGGGAAACGTGAGGATCGAGGAGGTGGAGATGCAGATAAGGTTTTTCGTTTTTTTTTATTTGAATGCTATACATCAAGAGAAAGATTACAGCTTTGATTGACTAGCTTACATATTCTGTGAATGCGCTTTTAAGATTTGCCGTTTAATATCTTTAAAGGAAAAGAAACGAAAATACGAGGCACCAATCCCAACACGAATAGGAAAACGTAAGAAGAAGGGGAAGGGACCAGATGCTGCTACGAAACTACCTACGGGTAAATGCTTCATTGGTTATTATTCTTAAACTCAATTATGTGGAACGGTTTATAAGGCATGGTTTACAACAAAATGTTATTTACAAGCATTACAGTATTATCCCATTTTAAGTAACGCCTCATACTCGTTGTCGTTTGAAACTGTTGAAGTATGAGCGAATCAAGGATTACCTACTGATGGAGCAAGAATTTATTCGAAATCAGGAACGCTTAAAACCACAAGAAGAGAGACAAGAGGTAATTCTAGTTTTTCCGTGATTTTTGTTGAAAACCGGGAAGAAATAACAATTTTTATTGTTATTTAATAATTCAAGGAAAGCTATTTCAGGAAGAACGTAGTAAAGTGAATGATCTTCGTGGAACTCCAATGGCTGTTGGCAATTTGGAAGAAATCATCGATGATCAGCATGCAATCGTTTCCACGGTACATATCCATACTTATGATGACTGTCATTAGCCATATTATTGTAATTTCTGCGTGCTCTAATCCATATTCCAGAATGTGGGGAGCGAGCATTACGTGAACATTCTTTCTTTTGTCGATAAGGAACAACTGGAACCTGGTTGTGCCGTGTTGTTGAATCATAAAACTCATGCTGTGATTGGAGTTTTGGCTGATGACACAGATCCAATGGTTTCTGTGATGAAGTTAGAGAAAGCTCCACAGGTAAAAAGAGAAATTTTGATGGAGAGCTATTTTTTTATTAGGAGTACTTTGCTGTTAACTAAGATGGAATCTGTTTAGCAGAAAAGTATTGGACGGGACCTTCGCTTTATATGGTGAGATAAAACGCTTTTAGGATTTCATTTATACCTAAGACTTTTCATTACAGGAAACATATGCAGATGTTGGTGGACTGGACCAGCAAATACAAGAGATCAAGGAATCTGTGGAATTGCCCTTAACTCATCCTGAATATTATGAAGAAATGGGCATTAAGCCGCCGAAAGGTTCGCAGGTTAAAGTGTCGGCTTAAAATTTTCATTGTTTTTTTTTTTTCTTCTTTTGAGAAATATCTCGTATTTTTCTTAATGACTCTGATTATTTTTTGATAGTCTGCTATGAAGAAACAGTTTGTTTACTATCTTATATCTTATTAACCTGCGAACTATTCTTTGTTTTTAATGAAAATGATGGAACTCTGTTGTAACATATTCAAAAATCACTGAAAGTTCATCACATTTACTATAGCATAATTTTTAATTCTGCGATTCTGCTGTAGGAAATTTCTGAACACTTCTTTTTATGTTCCGGGAATTCAATTATTTTGTTCTTTTAGGTGTTATACTTTATGGATGTCCTGGTACGGGTAAAACGCTATTAGCCAAAGCAGTTGCTAATCAAACATCTGCTACATTTTTGCGTGTTGTTGGTTCGGAGCTTATCCAGAAGTATTTAGGTGATGGGCCTAAAATGGTGCGCGAACTTTTCCGAGTTGCAGAAGAACATGCTCCTGTAAACATTTTCCGTTGCATCATTTTCATCTCTTATGTCATTATTTCATTGTTTAATAGTGTTTTTGCTTTTATTACCACCATAACTGTAAAAAGTAACTTTCAGTCAATTGTATTTATCGATGAAATTGATGCTGTTGGCACAAAGAGATATGATTCTAATTCTGGAGGTGAACGTGAAATCCAGCGTACTATGCTTGAATTACTTAATCAGCTAGATGGTTTTGATTCGCGTGGTGACGTTAAAGTAATTTTTTTCTTAAGTCGTAAGGCTTCTTTTTAAAGGACTTCATATGCATATTTCGAGATCGTTGTATAAAAAGAAATGTTTATAAAAGGTGGAGAAAGAGATTGATTTTAGGTGCTGATGGCGACAAATCGCATCGACTCACTAGATCCTGCTTTGATTAGGCCAGGTCGTATCGACCGTAAAATCGAATTTCCATTGCCAGATGAAAAGACCAAGCGTCGCATTTTTCAAATCCATACATCACGAATGACGTTGGCTAACGACGTTGATCTTGATGAATTCATTGCGGCCAAGGATGAGCTTAGTGGTGCAGATATTAAGGTCGGGCTTTACTGTTGTACTTTCTTCTTATTTTATGGATGAAGCAATATTGCCGTGAATAACAACCGAAGTCTTTATTGTAAAACTGTCCTTTTTTCTTCATATGGATGCCTCAGTGAATTCGAAAATAAAAAAAAATATGTATTTTTGAATTCAAAAAAAATATCTATATTTTTAAACTGGATTTTACAAATGTGATAAAAGATCATTCATTTTAGTATCGATCCTTCAAAATAGAGGTAGGAACTGAAAATATTAAAAAATTGAAATTTAAGTTTTTTTTTTTTGATTTTCTACTTGTTGGAAGTTAAAGCTGAATATCCAAAAAAAAAATTCAGGCGATGTGTACAGAGGCAGGTTTACTTGCATTACGTGAACGCCGTATGCGAGTAACGATGGACGATTTTAAGAAATCAAAAGAAAATGTGCTTTACCGCAAGAACGAAGGAGCTCCGGAAGCTTTGTACTTATAAGAAGCTTGATGTTGTGCTTTTGTTTGTGCATTATTACCGTTATATTAATCGAAGTAGGATCTTTATGGTTATCAAACACCTCTTTATATTGACATTTCCTATTCGATGAGAAAAGAAGTGGTAAAAAAACAAATTTCCATCATTGTTAAAGCTTTGATAATAACTTTATTCTAATTTGCGCTTTTTGATATCAATAAATTTCATCTGTTTTTCAATATGAACTAGCGGAGACATTTGCATAATAGTCATGTTTGCTGTTTGGGAAGCTTGCATTCGAGATGTATTGTTAGTTTTTTAAGAAAAGAAGAAATGCTAGGTGAGATGTATAAAGTGCATATATATATTATTGAAAAAAAAAATAGCGAAGCTTAAGGTTTGCACTGATATTCTTATTGCAGCAGTTGTGATATGCATATAAAGACGATTAAAATGGGTAGTGGTGAAATTATTTATGGAAATTAATATTCTTAATATACTTACCATATTTGGGCATGCGTTTGACTTTATCATAAAGTTGTGAATAGCCCATTACTCATTGCTTTTATCGTGTTCTTATTTAATCATTTCTGATAACTCATTCCAATCGTTTTTACCTGCACAACCAGAAAGTTACAGTGAGATGGGTTTTTCTAAAGAAATACTGAATTCAATGATTTTGGTGGATTGCACAAAAGTCCTTATTTAGTTTTGATGATAGTATGGAAGGGATTGTTCAGATGGGACTCAATATGGAGCTGATGATGTTCTGAAGAGTTCATATAATTCGATCAAGTTGAATTTGTATTCGGTGTCCGAGGAATATAGAAGAAATGACTTGTCAATTAGTACATTTTATTCGGTATTAAACGAATAGAGCGAAAATCATAATTGAAGTTTTCTAGAACTGGTCTTTTTATTAGTATTACTTTCCTGTGAAACTTCCTATCAGACCACCAATAGCAGCACCTATTTCAGCACCACGTTGAAATCCGGTTGACATTCTGAAAATTGATAACTGGATGATGAGGTGTGCATTAGACCGAATTATTACCTAATAGTCTTTGTCGACAATTTCTGATATCAACAAAAAGTGGAAGGGCTAATTCTGCCTCTCTGGTTCTTTTTTTTTGGTATCTCAAACTTGGGTAATTGTTTTATTAACATTAATACAACAACATACTCAGGAATTAGAATTCCAAGAACACAATTTTAATGACGATACCAGTGATAAAAGAAGGGAGCAGAAATTATGCCCAACCAGTCTAAATAGATTTGCTCGAATGAATTTGGTAGAAGAACAGAAAAATTAGATCGTGGGGCGCACATCGGTATACCGTTTTCTTAGGGCAACGTAAAACGAAGCATATGACGTGTGCGTGCGTGAGTGTGTGTGTGTGACTTAAAGACATTGCAAGATTCATTCATGAGATACACTTGATCCTTGATCTATAATCATTTTGGTGGCTCGATCAAAGAGAAAGAGCACTCAAAGTTTTATTTTCTTTATAGATGTTGGGTAAATAAGATTAGTTTTATTATCATAATTTTTGTGAATAGAATTAGCTTCAATTATTTTATGGAAATTGATTCCTTCGATTATTATATTTTTATCGATGGAATTAATCGAGCAATTGGTTTTGTATGGGGCTTATATTTGTTATTTATGACTCACTTTCATTACAATTTAAATTTTGGTGCTTTAATATCAAGACGATAAAACTCCTTGAAATTTACTTGAAACTTTTTCAGTGCTACAAGAAGCTAATGTTAATCATTCTTTCTAATCATAGATTAATGTAGACACCTTTCCTCTAATAGAGGAAAGGAAGGAAGAGGTAAAGTGCTTGATGAACCTGATGCTTCCCTCGATGATATCAGTGACAAAGCTTACAGTACTCATCAAAATTGAGAGGCGTAGATTCCTTGGTGAAGCAAAGATTGGTAGTGCTCCTGCCGATAATTCAATTTGTGGTTTTTGGTATCTTTGGCCATGGAGCACTTAGGCGACCAGCGGTCAAGTCTCTCAGTTGAAGGAATGGTGACAAACCACAAAAATTGGTTCCTTTTGTGATTTGGTGAGAAGAAGAACCTATTGGTTCTTTCAGCACAATTTTATATCATAAATCAAAAAGATAAGCACAGTGAAAGAAAACCAATCGGAAAATGCTATCTGTTAGATCATCAATTCAGGTTTATCATAAAACATTTTCATACTTTTTGTGAAAGTAAATTTATCATAAATCAATTTCATATTTTGTTTATCATAAATTAACTTCATATTTTCGAATGAAGGAAATAGATGAAATAAAGTATTCAAATAAAACTCAGTTAATTTAGATGCAAATTTTTATTGAAAATTAAAAAGGAATGAACTTGCCTATTGAACATAGGAGAATAGAATCCGAAAGAAAAATAAACAGGATAAACAGGATAATAATATCCGTAAAAAGGATAAAAATAATACGAATTCACAATAAATGGCAGCATCAGTATCAGAAACAGAGCAGGAATAAGATTCATTATATCACTGTTAGATACTGCTGACTTTCTGAAAAGACACATCCGTTAAATTAAAATTCGGAAAAGGTTGAATTTTTGAAATAAACATATCAGTGCAACAAACCCCAAATCCCTGCATTAACAAATTTTGGTACTTACTAGTTATTTTAATTCCTGTCGCAATTAATTCCATATAAGGACATTCCTTCAGTACTTTACAAGATACACATTAAAATTTTAATGCACAGGACATTTATGAAAAATATCAACATTTGGAGAAAAACCTAAATATTTTCATAAAGTAATTTTAAATGTTGTTTCAAGGAACATCTTTTTAAAACAGGTTTACAGGTATTTGTAAGGAAAAATGGGAGTATATGATTGAAAGCATTTTCTAGTGGTAGTACTTAATTCCACTTAATAAAAACATTACAGTACTTGATTCCACGTTGTAAGAAAAAAGACGTTCGGCTTTGAAAACTAATTACAGTTGAACTTTACACAATAACTGAAATTTTCAAGTTCGATGGATTCTGTGATATGAATCGAAAGCATAGCTATATAGTCGCCAAGTATTGTAAGCCGACAGTTTCCGGAATTTGTGCGAAAGAGTTTAGCAAGTTTGTTATGTAATGAGCAAGAAAAGTAGTGGAATTTTGTAAGTAAATATTAGCAGAAGTAAATAGTAAACAGTCAAGATTTAACAGTCATTAATATAATTCAAGGAAGAAATGATATAATTGATAACACTCTCATAGAGTAGCAGAGGAAGGAGACATATTCGTGGAAGGTCATTCAGTTCCAAATATTTCAAATGGCATAAAATTAGTTTTGAATTTAAGTCTTTTATTTTTTACATTTTTAATTCAAGATACTAATATATTTCCACGTATTGTAATTTCAAAGTGCGGAATTCGGGAAGTTGTTTTTTTTAAAAAAAACAAGTAATTCATAATGTTGTTTAATTTGTTCAAGTTAATTTTAATTCAGATGGGTCTAATTTATGGCTTTTATCAATCATTATTAATAAAATGTCGGAACATGCTTTATTTTGACTGCTTTGTTATTTCTAAACATACCTTTAACTAAATGTAGAATAAAAATGATACTGAAATAACGTGAAGAAAGAAAAAGAACTCATATGATGGCTTGTCAATTTTTCTCCGACACCTTTGATACTTTACCTCCCGGCACCTTCAATACTTTCAATATATGGGAGCATCCAATGTTTTGTTTAGTAATCGTGTAGCTACAAACATATTTCCATTGTGGTTTAAAAAAGTAAACTGTTTTTTTGAGTTTTGTACTTTGTTTGAGGCATTAATTTAAATTCATTTTTTAGTGAGAAAAAATTTGAAAATAAAGCTAAAGAATGATTTCCGATTTTCTTTTGCTTGCTGACATGAATTACTGAGAACAAAGACCACTTCAAATTTTGATATTATTTCATAAACAAATTATAAGATGAAAAGAGTTGTAATCATCATTAACAAGAAAATCATTAACAATGGAAAAAATTATTGCTAATGTTCATGGAGTTTTTGTTTCAGAGAATATGGAACATAGTACTTTTCATCTGTTTTCATCAAATCTTAATTGAAATATTATACTGTCATTTTGAAATCGTAGTTTTGAAGCATAGATATACTTCAAATTTACTGGATGATATCAAAGTATTGTAAGGAAAAAATATGATTTTATTCTTCCAGCTGTTTATTATTCAATCATTTCACAACAGTTACCAAGGTAAGGATGAGAAAACTGAACTGGATAAAGAGTAATAGGCAGAGTTTAAATGAAGTTATAAAGTTGAAGCTGGAAATTGGTTCTCATAGCTTCGATATGGAAACCGTAAAGGCATACATTCTAATTATAGTACCCGAAATTCAATGCTAGGATAAATAACAAATCAAATACTTCAAATCAAAAATGGTTTTTAGTAACAAATTCTTTGAAAATTCGGCAAGCATTTTTTTTCAAGTTCGTTTGTTGTTTTTCTTTTTCCATATCAGAAAGTACATCACCTCAGTGATAAATCTATTTATCACATTTATTTCAATGCAGTTCGTATTTTGAGTTTTGAAAAAAAAAAGTAATGAATTGATTTTTTTTTTTTGAAACTAGTAACAGGCGATGGTTGGTGTGACTTCAATTAGAATAACTGCTTATTTTTAACTATACTGTTCTCTATTCAGAAAGAAATTGTCTGAAATTACAACTTTGAATTCCTCTAATTAATAAAAAGCCGGAAAATAAGAAATAATATTTTTATATCGTTTGCATCAAGTTTTAAAAGTGTCACAAACATCAAAATTATCAGGAATCATTACAAATAAATAATGGTCTATTTTCAAGGAGAAGGAAAACAGAATTCTTTAATGGCTTCTAAACTTATTTTTAAGTCTTTGTGTAAGTAATTAATTAATCATCCAAGACGAGCGCATACTTTTTGGAAAATTTCTTGCATTTCCAGTACATACATTTAGGATTTTAATTTTTGTGATAATAAAGTTTTATAATTCCCTTTTTTTTTTTTTTTTTGCTAGCAGTAGGAGCAGAAAAGCAAAAAGAAATCAAAAAGGAAATATGGACGGACCCTCCGATGACCTTGGCCTACTACTCGCCTGCAATCCAGTTTTATATTTCAAATGCAATCGTAAATTTATATAAAATAGTTAGTTAAGAAAAAACGATCAACTTTTGGTCAGCTTCTTTAACCATTGTCATCATTTTCGATTATCTTCTTTTCATTTAAACCATGTGGTTCTGTTCAACTTCTTTGGCTTTAGCTACTATCATATGTATGATAATAATCCTTCCAAATTCCAATGGTCATGCATTAGCTGGAGGCCCAAATGCATTTGGATGTTGCATGTTAGTTTCTTTTTTTCTTTCATTTTTTCGACACTATCATTTGTTTACTACTCGTTACTTTTTCTACAATGATAAAACTTAGAAATAGATACTTCCCAAAGTTTGTTGGAATTTTAACAGATTTAAAATAGTGAAAGCTATTGCGTTTATCTTTCTTCTTCTTTCTCTCTCTGGAAAGCTATTAAATTTGTAAGTACCTTTATCCGAATGCTCGAATTAACTTTTTTTGTAGCATGTTATAAGGATTTGGAAAAAAATGAATTTTTGAATCAATTTTGATTTGAAAAATAATTGTGACCGGAGAAAAAAGTAATTCTCAGAAATGCTCAATGATTGCTCAATTGTTGTGATTAATATTTTGCAATTTAGGGCACCATGTTTTCCTAAATTACCTACCTGTGAATGCCCTTGTGGATTCCCTTTGCACCCGCAATTGCCGTCCCTGCCACCTCCACAATCTGCATATCCTATTGGTGGTGCTTATGCGACACCTGATAGCAGTAACATACGACAGCAAATGGTCGGAAATGGTTACTTTCAACAACCGTACTCATATAAAACACTACCAAGCACTTCAAGTCAACAACAATCATCAGTGAGTTTTTAATTCTTTAAAAGTTTTCATTTTTTTAATTTTTGTTACTGAAGGAATTGAAAAGTTAATATAACTTGCGCAGCAGAAAATAAAAATTTTATTATTAATTAGATGATAGTCATAATTGCTTGGAGTGAGGTAATTTACAAAAAATAGCTGCTGTCCAATTTGCGAAACAGATACTTATAAAATCATATTTAGCCTACTGCATCCTGGAGCTTCGGTTGGGTCACATCGCAGACATCGCCAGTCTTTTCCATTTGTATTTTATTCCGAAAATAATGTGACATATTGAAAACAGTTTTTTGATACTGTTATTTACTATTAGTTAGATTGGAGATGGTGGTGGTAATAAAAATGGGTAAAAAGAAGCAATCATGATTTTAGCATAAGTAACTCCTGGTGTTCTTCATAGCAATGTTATTTTGTCATTTTGTACTTTTACTGGGTGAGCATTAATAATAGAAACGTTGTTAGAATATAAAGTAGTAGATTTGATAATAATGATTTTTTAATAATAATTAAATATAATTATATATTAAATTGAGATAATAATAGTTACACTGTATTAAATTGGAATAATAATAGTTGCAACGTATTTCGTATTAAATGCAATTTTTATAGTATCAAAATGTGGGAGCTTATGGTTTCAACGTAAATCAACTTGAACAACCGGCTGCCGGTGTTTCTAGTGGTTATGCAACCGGTCCGTATGGCGTTGGAAATGGCAACTTCGGTGATTATTCATCCGCATACAGTCTTCCACAACAGAGTGGACAGAATGAGAATAAATTTGGCGCACTACCTCCGCAGCTACCAGTTCCTGGTACGGGACAGTATATGTTTGGGCCACAACAATCGGACACTCCCGTAGCTGTTACCGCAGGTATTGCTGGAACCGAGTACAACTTATCACCAACAAAAAGTGACTATGAAAAGAAAACCAAAGCATTTTTGAAGATGCGCAGAAGTCAATTGGCGTAAATGCCAGAATTAGATCCACAATCCAGAATCTCAATATGCTTAAAATATTATTAATTCAAAAATTTGGTATTTCTATTTAACTTCATCCTGTAAATAGGCCAACAATCCGATATAATTTAACCTGCTTATCAAAAATTCTAAATAAAGGGCTTTTAGTTTATAAACTGTCCACATCGGAATTTCCAATGCACTAATAAACTTGGATGCGATGTTTTTGTTGGCTTTCATCTATTGTTATTTAAGGTGTTATATGTTCCCGTAATTTGTTCGTTGACATATATCATTTACCTTACTTGTTACCTTTATGTACCTCAGTGATTTAATGATATATTGTTTTAATTTAATTCACTACTATCTACAATGACATATTTTATGCTAACAGCAATTAAATGAACCAAATCTTCTGATACTGACGCACACGTCGAATATGAAACCGTATTTCTGAATAATATTTTCCTAGTTCTTTTGTCTCAGTTTCACAAAAAACCATTGAAAACAACAAAGTTAACCTCAGAAACTGCATGAAAATAAAGTGAGAAATTCTTGAATTTAGATATTGTTTTTGTCA